ATTTTTGGATTTGTACTCGTATCACATCAAAGTTCAAGTTCTTGTCTTATCGTGACATCAAAACTAAAAAGATCTCGTTAGCACTCAAACCACTGAAGAATCCCAGAACCCCCTCAGGGACCCCGTCACAGATCACCAGAACACCTTTAGAACCTTTGAAATGATACCAAGAGCTTCCTGAAGGCTCGGTGGATCCCACACATTGACCTGCACCCTCCTAAAGACTCATGGGACGCTGCAACAACCACGAGAACTGTGGAGGTCTTCAGGGGACCCCTTTAAGAGCCCAGAAAACCTCTTCAGTCCCCATCAGAACCTTTAAAGACCCATCGAACATCGAACAGTGATGGCAGCTCTTAGTTCTCATGCTGACCCCCCATTTGTTATTACTGGACCTAGACCCTCGTAAAGGACCCAGAACCTGATCAGAGACCAGACCATAAAGAATTTTGAGAAGCTTCATAAAGCCTCACACTGACCCTTAGAACCTCCTGTAAGGACGTCACTGATGAAACCTCATATAAACTGTATAAAGAACCCTGAGGAACACCAGAGTGTCCCTGAACACGGCACAAGGCGAGCTGTAGTCTGTGTTCTGGCTGCGGCCCGGCTGCGGCCCCTCCTGATGGATTCTGTCTCAGGTTTCAGCCCCGCTGCACACATCGATCTGGAAAAAGCTTTGCACTAATGTAAGGAATGTGCAATTAGTATTTAATGGAGTCCAACGTGCCAGACCGCCGGTATGAGACCGGAGTCCGGACTCGGTTGGCTGGTTCTCTGGTTGTAAACGTAGGCCTCAGATTTCCCAGAATCCTCTATGATAAATGGAGATGATGTGGTTTGATAGGCTGGAAGTGAACACAGCAGAGCTGTGGTCACAACCACAGGCATCATCAGCTGACTGGAAACTAGTGAACCCGACTCCCCTCATGAGTCTGAGCTGTACTCAGACTCATGAGGGGAGGAGCCTCAGACACACTCACCCTCTGTCTTCTGTGATCTCTGACCCCCAGTGTGGTGCCGTTGCTGAAAGAGTCCATCGGGATCCTGATGCAGAGAACTCCGCCCTCCCTGGACAACGCCCTCCCTGAGTGTTACCAGAGGGTGAGTACAGACCCCTACCCCCTCATCACCTGTCCATATCAGGGTAAGGTACCCTAATTCCTGCTTTACCGTGTTGTGTTCAGGTGCAGCAGCTGCAGGGAGTTTATAACCTGCAGGAGCCTCACTTCTGGACCCTGTGCACGGACGTTTACATTGGAACATTAAAGCTGCTGGTTGCCCCCGACGCAGACACACGCTGGGTCCTCAGCCAGACGCACCACATATTCACACAGGTACCTGAATGCACCTCACCACATATTCACACAGGTACCTGAATGCACCTCACTACATATTCACACAGGTGCCTGAACGCACCACACTACGTATTCACACAGGTACCTGAATGCACCTCACTACGTATTCACTCAGGTACCTGAATGCACCACATGGTCACAAAGTGAAACTGAGCGTTGGTGTTTTGTGCGTCTGCAGGCCGGAGTTCGACAGCTCTACGTTCAGATGGAAACAGCCGCCATGTAGAAGCTCCTCCTCCTCTGAACACCTGGGACCAATCACCTTCAGTCTGCTGCAGGTGACCTCTGACTCCACCCTCAAGGTCACTACAGGTCAGACCGAGAAGGGGGTGGGGGTGTGTGACTGATCTCCCATGATGCACCAGCCCAACGCATCCTGGATGAACTCAAAATGCCCCTCCCCCTTTTTTTAACCTCACCTGTCCATCAGCGGACAGCGTGACCCCCCCCAGCTGCACTTTGTAGACTGGAGCAAAGCATTCTGGGTAAGTGCCTTCATTATAAATCAGAGACAATCTGAGCCTGTTTCCTGTTTGGATGCCCCTCCCCCTGTGACATCACTGCTGGGACCATACTGCTGCCAGCTGATTGGAGAGCGGTGTGTGTGATGTCGCCATGTTTTTTTTTTTTTTAACGTGCCAAATCATGTGACCAAACCTTGTGACCAGTCTTGGGGTTTCATTCTTTTTCAACTGTAATAAATAATTCTGTTTCTCTGAGCTCATCATTCACCGCCATCTTTATTGATGACATCATAACGCAACAATTACACGTCACAACTTGATCACGTTTATTACAGGGATTTCATTCTGATGGATTTCTCTGAAATTCGCTTCCAGTCGAACGCCATAAGCGAGTAGGTGGGACCCCCGTCCCGGAGTGTTTAAGTTCTTATTCAAAAATGAATATTTGATCGATCACAGGTAGGGTTATTATACATGCCGAGCCCCGCCCCCTTCTCCTCGTGTGAGGACACTCACATCCCTGACATAAGGACCAATCAGAACCAGGCATCATAAATGTTTTCTTTTTTAATGATTACATTGTTGATAAAAACTGTGTGTGTATGAGTGTGTTTGTCCTGCTATCTTAAAGAGGACCAACAGTTTGAGCCGTTGAAGTTTCAGGTCCAGGCTGGACTCGGGTCTCGATGAGGTGTAACGTCGGCCTCACACGTTCAAAGGGTCCAGGTCCAGGTCCAGGCTGGACTCGGGTCTCGATGTGGTGTAACGTCGGCCTCACACGTTCAAAGGGTCCAGGTCCAGGCTGGACTCGGGTCTCGATGTGGTGTAACGTCGGCCTCACACGTTCAAAGGGTCCAGGTCCAGGCTGGACTCGGGTCTCGATGAGGTGTAACGTCGTGGATGTGTGTGTGTGTGTTAGGAGCAGTAGGTGGAGCTGTCGATCATGTGCAGGTGTTGCAGTGCGTTTGGTTCTGCGCTCACTCGCAGCATGTCCACCTCCAGCGGGTGGAGTCGACCAGTGACCAGCAGCGAATGGAGTGGACCACCGAGGTCACATGACACCAGCTGACGTAGCATCGCCGTGCAGATCTTCTGGTCGTCTGCGCCAAGCCTGGCCACGCCCACACACACAGTGTCCTCCGTCACACCTGTGGGGAACACACGATGCACGAGAGCAGCTGATTGGCTGGATTTACTTGTTTATGAAACATACCTGTCTGATAAACACCTGTAGATAGATTCAAATTTTGACGCTGAGCCACGAGAAGATGACCTTTAACCTCTGCAGGTCGTCTGTTGAGATCCTGTTAGCTTTGTGTTTGAGCCAATCAGATGAGAGCAGACAAGTTGTCACTCACCGAGCTCCGCCCCCTGCTCCTCCTCCCTCCTCCTCTGGATGATCTGAATCAGCTGATCTGCAGCCTGACTGACCGTCATGAAGCGAGGAGGCTCAAAGATCTTCTTCCCTCTGAAAAATGTAAATATTGAAATGAGTCACCTGACTCATCACCTGCTCTGATTCTTCTCAGTGTGAAATCTCAACCTCTTATTTTCATTTCTTATGAGAATATTTAAAGACTTTAAATCTCCGTGAGGAACAGTTTGTGTTGATTATGGCGCCCCCTCCCTTTAGCGTCTTCAGAGACTTTACAGAGGGGATCAGCTGATCCAGCGGGGGACACCAGCGCTGTGTGTGTGTGGAGGCGGAGCTTAGTGTCTTACCTCATCATGTTCTCCACGCTCTGCTCTTTAACTTTAATGTCTGAAAAAACGGAAAGTTTAAATAGATCTGAGACCGCACGTTTTTAGAAATATACAATGTGTTAACTAATAAAAGAAAAGAATCAAAAAGTCCAGAAAGGAAGAAAGAGTTCATCATTTGTACCATCCGATACTCGGTGACTAGACGTGGCAGGGGGCCAGGGGGTTCAGGGAGGTAAATGGCCTTGAGCTCATAAAGTTGTTTCACACTGCAGGTCACACTGACACACATGATCTCTATGTAAGTCATCCATTCATACACCACCACTGAAGCAGAGGGAGCACTGTGGGGACATGTTGCCCAGCTGAGAGGCAATGACTCTACCGACTGAGCCACAGCCGCCCCCCCTGGTCCACCGTGATGGTCTCCTCTGGATGAACCCTGAATGCACCGATCAGCTGCTGCATTCAAGGTCACATCCGTGTGTGTGTGTGTGTGTGTGTGTGTGTGTGTGTGTGTGTGTGTGTGTGTGTGTGTGTGTGTGTGTGTGTGTGTGTGTGTGTGTGTGTGTGTGTGTGTGTGTGTGTGTGTGTGTGTGTGTGTGTGTGTGTGTGTGTGTGTGTGTGTGTGTGTGTGTGTGTGTGTGTGTGTGTGTGTGTGTGTGTGTGTGTGTGTGTGTGTGTGTGTGTGTGTGTGTGTGTGTGTGTGTGTGTGTGTGTGTGTCTCACCCAGCAAGCAGAGTGTGTGAAGTCCAGCTGTTCTGTTTTTACAGATTTTGTCGTAGAAGCTCTCTGGTCTCCACGTGTCCGTCCAAAACACCAACGACACCGTCTCCCCGAAGTTATACAGCTGACACACACACACGCGGGAAATGAAAAGTGGCATTTAAATCTCTTGCAGACGTCTATAGTAACCCGACAGCTGATCTCTCCCCCCCATAAAAGTTTGTATTGCCTGAATAAGCGGGGGGGGGGGGGGCTGATGGGACGGACTCCCAGTAGAGGGGCCTCATTAGCATGCCCCCACCCCCTCATTAGCATATTAACGACCTCCCAGTGGAGCTCCTGCTGTAAATGTTAATCTGTGTGTGTGTGACAGCTGGGTCCTGCTCTCTGATTGGCTGCTGTGACAGGTCAGTTATTGATGAGGTCACATTAGTGTAATGAGATTCATCAGCAGATGGCGTGCACACACACACACACACACAGGTCTCAGCTGAGGAGCATTGTGGGAAACCGTCTGCGAGGGACCCTGGTCTCATGCTGCATGTTGGACCAATCAGAACGAACTACCAGTGTAGGAGGGGCTTTAGAAAACAGCCTGTCAGACTGAGCTCAGGGCACACAGAGGTGTGTGTGTGGGACGTACCTGCAGCCCACAGCAGCCCACTGCGTTCATGATGGAGGCGTTATGGATCACTCTGTACGGTATCCCAGCATGCACTGCTCTCAGGACCAGGTCACTGTGTGTGGTGGCTCTGCAAACAAAAAGTTTAAATAGTTTAAACACACACACACACACACACACACACCACACACACACACACACACACACACACACACACACACACACACACACACACACACACACACACACACACACACACACACACACACACACACACACACACACACACACACACACACACACACACACACACACACACACACACACACACACACACCACAGAGCTGCTTCATTCGTGCAGATTTCTCCCCAAACCACAGGATTCCTGAGTGACTAATAACAGGGTGCAGCGCTCGCCGCTGGCCGCTCGCCACTCGCCGCTCTCACTCTGCTGACGTTGGTTTCAGAGAAGCTGCTGCTTGTCTGACCGTCTGAACACTTCAAATGGAGATGTTTCTCTCCCGTCACACGTTGATTTGAAGCGTCTGTGACCTCAGCAGCTGGAGGCTACAGACGTCATCGACCTCCGTTTGTTACCACGGCAACAAAGATAGAAGTCCTAGACACCAATTATCAGTCATTTCTCTTTTTGAATGACCAACATGTGAAAAAGAAAGGAAAGGACACATAGTGTCTCAGTGATGTGTGTGTGTGTGTGTGTGTGACGTGCTCAGTCCTCAGACGTGGACAACATGACTCACCCGAACGGGTCGCCCACCACCAGGAACGCCACATCAGTCACATCAGCATCCTTCAGGATCTCGTCAGCCCCCTGCTCCACCAGGTCTCGGTCTGCCAGGATCAGATCCTTCCCATAAAACTCCTCCTGAGGGCGCCAGAGAGCAGACAACGTTTAGTATCAACGACTCAGAGACTAACAGAGAGACTAACAGAGAGACTAACAGAGACTAACAGAGAGACTAACAGAGAGACTAACGGAGACTAACAGAGAGACTAACAGAGAGACTAACAGAGACTAACAGAGAGACTAACAGAGACTAACAGAGACTAACAGAGACTAACAGAGAGACTAACAGAGACTAACAGAGACTAACAGAGACTAACAGAGAGACTAACAGAGAGACTAACAGAGACTAACAGAGACTAACAGAGAGACTAACAGAGAGACTAACAGAGACTAACAGAGAGACTAACAGAGACTAACAGAGACTAACAGAGACTAACAGAGACTAACAGAGAGACTAACAGAGAGACTAACAGAGACTAACAGAGACTAACAGAGAGACTAACAGAGAGACTAACAGAATAACAGAGAGACTAACAGAGAGACTAACAGAATAACAGAGAGACTAACAGAGAGACTAACAGAGAGACTAACAGACTAACAGAGAGACTAACAGAGAGACTAACAGAGACTAACAGAGAGACTAACAGAGAGACTAACAGAGACTAACAGAGAGACTAACAGAGAGACTAACAGAGACTAACAGAGAGACTAACAGAGAGACTAACAGAGACTAACAGAGAGACTAACAGAGACTAACAGAGACTAACAGAGACTAACAGAGAGACTAACAGAGAGACTAACAGAGAGACTAACAGAGACTAACAGAGACTAACAGAGAGACTAACAGAGACTAACAGAGACTAACAGAGAGACTAACAGAGACTAACAGAGAGACTAACAGAGAGACTAACAGAGACTAACAGAGAGACTAACAGAGAGACTAACAGAGAGACTAACAGAGAGACTAACAGAGACTAACAGAGAGACTAACAGAGACTAACAGAGAGACTAACAGAGAGACTAACAGAGACTAACAGAGAGACTAACAGAGACTAACAGAGAGACTAACAGAGACTAACAGAGACTAACAGAGAGACTAACAGAGAGACTAACAGAGACTAACAGAGAGACTAACAGAGACTAACAGAGAGACTAACAGAGACTAACAGAGAGACTAACAGAGAGACTAACAGAGACTAACAGAGAGACTAACAGAGAGACTAACAGAGAGACTAACAGAGAGACTAACAGAGACTAACAGAGACTAACAGAGAGACTAACAGAGAGACTAACAGAGACTAACAGAGACTAACAGAGACTAACAGAGAGACTAACAGAGACTAACAGAGAGACTAACAGAGACTAACAGAGAGACTAACAGAGACTAACAGAGACTAACAGAGAGACTAACAGAGAGACTAACAGAGACTAACAGAGAGACTAACAGAGAGACTAACAGAGAGACTAACAGAGACTAACAGAGAGACTAACAGAGAGACTAACAGAGACTAACAGAGAGACTAACAGAGACTAACAGAGAGACTAACAGAGAGACTAACAGAGACAACAGAGAGACAACAGAGACTAACAGAGACTAACAGAGAGACTAACAGAGAGACTAACAGAGACTAACAGAGACTAACAGAGACCAACAGAGAGACCAACAGAGACTAACAGAGAGACTAACAGAGAGACTAACAGAGACTAACAGAGAGACTAACAGAGACTAACAGAGAGACTAACAGAGAGACTAACAGAGACTAACAGAGACTAACAGAGAGACTAACAGAGACTAACAGAGACTAACAGAGAGACTAACAGAGACTGACAGAGAGACTAACAGAGAGACTAACAGAGACCAACAGAGAGACTAACAGAGAGACTAACAGAGACAACAGAGAGACTAACAGAGACTGACAGAGAGACTAACAGAGACTAACAGAGAGACTAACAGAGACTAACAGAGAGACTAACAGAGAGACTAACAGAGACTAACAGAGAGACTAACAGAGAGACTAACAGAGAGACTAACAGAGACTAACAGAGAAACTAACAGAGACTAACAGAGACTAACAGAGAGACTAACAGAGAGACTAACAGAGACTAACAGAGAGACTAACAGAGACTAACAGAGACTAACAGAGAGACTAACAGAGACTAACAGAGACTAACAGAGACTAACAGAGAGACTAACAGAGAGACTAACAGAGAGACTAACAGAGACTAACAGAGAGACTAACAGAGAGACTAACAGAGAGACTAACAGAGACTAACAGAGAGACTAACAGAGAGACTAACAGAGAGACTAACAGAGACTAACAGAGAGACTAACAGAGACTAACAGAGAGACTAACAGAGACTAACAGAGACTAACAGAGACTAACAGAGAGACTAACAGAGAGACTAACAGAGACTAACAGAGAGACTAACAGAGAGACTAACAGAGACTAACAGAGAGACTAACAGAGACTAACAGAGAGACTAACAGAGACTAACAGAGAGACTAACAGAGACTAACAGAGACTAACAGAGACTAACAGAGACTAACAGAGAGACTAACAGAGAGACTAACAGAGACTAACAGAGACTAACAGAGAGACTAACAGAGACTAACAGAGAGACTAACAGAGACTAACAGAGACTAACAGAGAGACTAACAGAGAGGTGATGAGACTTTTATCAATTATGTATTTTGATTTAAAGACTTTTAATTTGACACTGATTTCTGAAGCACTTCCTGAATAATAAAACATGTTCATGTTTCTCTGACTGCTCATCATCATTGATGAAAGTCATCGTGATATAGGGCTGAGTGTACACATGAGAAAGACCACGTCCTACACAGAATCCACTACAACAGCTTTAATGTTGAGAATAAAAACAGCAGAGGCATCCTACGACTTAAAACATCCATCCTTATGGTCCTCAGAGACCCAAAACAAAGATTCAAATATTTCAATCCCTGAGCAATGGCGTTACAGTGAAGTGCACCATCAGAGCTTTGCAGCATATCACTCTGTAACATGTGCATGGGTCACATGACGATCTGAGCATCGTGACATCATCATCAGGAAGAACACACCTCCATGTTCAGTTACAGAGAAGATTTTAAAGGACCAATCAGGAAGATTTCTCTCTTATTCTAAGGAAATCCTGTTTGATACCATGGCAACAAAGATTCAAGTCCTAGACACCTGAGATCGAATCATGTTCTTCTTTTGATCATCAATAAGTAGCAGTGTGTGTGTGTGTGTGTGTGTGTGTGTGTGTGTGTGTGTGTGTGTGTGGTGTGTTGTGTCTGTCTGTCTGTCTGTCTGTCTGTCTGTGTGTGTGTGTGTGTTGTGTGTGTGTGTGTTGTGTGTGTGTGTGTGTGTGTGGTGTGTGTGTGTGTGTGTGGTGTGTGTGTGTGTGTTGTGTGTGTGTGTGTTGTGTGTGTGTGGTGTGTGTGTGTGTGTGTGTGTGTGTGTGTGTCTCCGGACTCACCAGGGCCTCCTTGCCCACGGTCAGGATGGAGGTGTAGGCCTCCAGGTAAACCCTGGAGCAGCTCTTCACCGCCTGCAGACCCTTCACCGTGATGTCCGCCGCGTCCCCCAGACCCAGGCCGATCAGATACAGCATCCTGCCGGCGTCTGTGTGTGCGAAGGGTCGGTGTCACACTCCAGATAAATCACTACTGTGTTTACTGTCAGCTCCTCTGTCTTCACGTGTAGTCTGTATGGACCGACCGGAATACGGCATGCCGTAAACTGTTTATGTTTCACGACAGCTACAGCAGCGATACGTTCTGTTCTTTGACGCCAAACCTCGTAGAGAAATCTTCGCATTTTGTAAAGTATTCCCTTAAAGCAGAGTTTAATGTGAAGAGAATTATTTTGAACTAAGATTCTGGTGCAGAAAGACATCGTCTTTAATTCGGCGGACATAAATAGAACTACTTTTTTACTTTCAAAATAAAATGCTTACATGATTGTAATATCTCTAAGTGTGCGTCAACGTCCTCGATGGTTTAAATCTGAGGAGACATGACAGTCAGAACAGTTAGAATATCATATGAACAAAGTCGGGTCTTAACTGATACGGAAGAGGATAAGGGACAAACATAAGAAAGAAATAATGAGAGGAGGAAGATTTTTTATCTTCATGCAATTCAAGAAAAAAGTTGATATTGGCAGGCATCACAACTTTGACTGAAGACTGAGAGCTCAACTACCATACTGTACACTGCAGCCTCTACCATCAGTGTGTGAATGGATGAGTTAATACTGAAGGACTCTTTACTCAGCAGCCTCTACCATCAGTGTGTGAATGTGTATGAATGGATGAGTTAATACTGATGGACTCTTTACCCAGCAGCCTCTACCATCAGTGTGTGAATGGATGAGTTAATACTGATGGACTCTTTACTCAGCGGCCTCTACCATCAGTGTGTGAATGGATGAGTTAATACTGATGGACTCTTTACTCAGCAGCCTCTACCATCAGTGTGTGAATGGATGAGTTAATACTGATGGACTCTTTACTCAGCGGCCTCTACCATCAGTGTGTGAATGGATGAGTTAATACTGACGGACTCTTTACTCAGCGGCCTCTACCATCAGTGTGTGAATGGATGAGTTAATACTGATGGACTCTTTACTCAGCGGCCTCTACCATCAGTGTGTGAATGGATGAGTTAATACTGATGGACTCTTTACTCAGCGGCCTCTACCATCAGTGTGTGAATGGATGAGTTAATACTGATGGACTCTTTACTCAGCGGCCTCTACCATCAGTGTGTGAATGGATGAGTTAATACTGATGGACTCTTTACTCAGCGGCCTCTACCATCAGTGTGTGAATGGATGAGTTAATACTGATGGACTCTTTACTCAGCGGCCTCTACCATCAGCGTGTGAATGTGTGTGAATGGATGAGTTAATACTGATGGACTCTTTACTCAGCAGCCTCTACCATCAGTGTGTGAATGGATGAGTTAATACTGATGGACTCTTTACTCAGCAGCCTCTACCATCAGTGTGTGAATGTGTATGAATGGATGAGTTAATACTGATGGACTCTTTACTCAGCGGCCTCTACCATCAGGTGTGAATGTGTGAATGGATGAGTTAATACTGATGGACTCTTTACTCAGCAGCCTCTACCATCAGTGTGTGAATGGATGAGTTAATACTGATGGACTCTTTACTCAGCGGCCTCTACCATCAGTGTATGAATGGATGAGTTAATACTGATGGACTCTTTACTCAGCGGCCTCTACCATCAGTGTGTGAATGTGTATGAATGGATGAGTTAATACTGATGGACTCTTTACTCAGCGGCCTCTACCATCAGTGTGTGAATGTGTATGAATGGATGAGTTAATACTGATGGACTCTTTACACAGCAGCCTCTACCATCAGTGTGTGAATGTGTATGAATGGATGAGTTAATACTGATGGACTCTTTACTCAGCGGCCTCTACCATCAGTGTGTGAATGTGTATGAATGGATGAGTTAATACTGATGGACTCTTTACTCAGCAGCCTCTACCATCAGTGTATGAATGGATGAGTTAATACTGATGGACTCTTTACTCAGCAGCCTCTACCATCAGTGTGTGAATGGATGAGTTAATACTGATGGACTCTTTACTCAGCGGCCTCTACCATCAGTGTGTGAATGTGTATGAATGGATGAGTTAATACTGATGGACTCTTTACTCAGCAGCCTCTACCATCAGTGTGTGAATGGATGAGTTAATACTGATGGACTCTTTACTCAGCGGCCTCTACCATCAGTGTGTGATGTGTATGAATGGATGAGTTAATACTGATGGACTCTTTACTCAGCGGCCTCTACCATCAGTGTGTGAATGTGTATGAATGGATGAGTTAATACTGATGGACTCTTTACTCAGCGGCCTCTACCATCAGTGTATGAATGGATGAGTTAATACTGATGGACTCTTTACTCAGCGGCCTCTACCATCAGTGTGTGAATGTGTATGAATGGATGAGTTAATACTGATGGACTCTTTACTCAGCGGCCTCTACCATCAGTGTATGAATGGATGAGTTAATACTGATGGACTCTTTACTCAGCGGCCTCTACCATCAGTGTGTGAATGGATGAGTTAATACTGATGGACTCTTTACTCAGCAGCCTCTACCATCAGTGTGTGAATGTGTATGAATGGATGAGTTAATACTGATGGACTCTTTACTCAGCGGCCTCTACCATCAGCGTGTGAATGTGTGTGAATGGATGAGTTAATACTGATGGACTCTTTACTCAGCAGCCTCTACCATCAGTGTGTGAATGGATGAGTTAATACTGATGGACTCTTTACTCAGCGGCCTCTACCATCAGTGTATGAATGGATGAGTTAATACTGATGGACTCTTTACTCAGCAGCCTCTACCATCAGTGTGTGAATGTGTATGAATGGATGAGTTAATACTGATGGACTCTTTACTCAGCGGCCTCTACCATCAGTGTGTGAATGTGTATGAATGGATGAGTTAATACTGATGGACTCTTTACACAGCGGCCTCTACCATCAGTGTGTGAATGTGTATGAATGGATGAGTTAATACTGATGGACTCTTTACTCAGCGGCCTCTACCATCAGTGTGTGAATGTGTATGAATGGATGAGTTAATACTGATGGACTCTTTACTCAGCAGCCTCTACCATCAGTGTGTGAATGGATGAGTTAATACTGATGGACTCTTTACTCAGCGGCCTCTACCATCAGTGTGTGAATGTGTATGAATGGATGAGTTAATACTGATGGACTCTTTACTCAGCGGCCTCTACCATCAGTGTGTGAATGTGTATGAATGGATGAGTTAATACTGATGGACTCTTTACTCAGCAGCCTCTACCATCAGTGTATGAATGGATGAGTTAATACTGATGGACTCTTTACTCAGCGGCCTCTACCATCAGTGTGTGAATGTGTATGAATGGATGAGTTAATACTGATGGACTCTTTACTCAGCGGCCTCTACCATCAGTGTGTGAATGGATGAGTTAATACTGATGGACTCTTTACTCAGCAGCCTCTACCATCAGTGTGTGAATGTGTATGAATGGATGAGTTAATACTGATGGACTCTTTACTCAGCGGCCTCTACCATCAGTGTGTGAATGTGTATGAATGGATGAGTTAATACTGATGGACTCTTTACTCAGCGGCCTCTACCATCAGTGTGTGAATGGATGAGTTAATACTGATGGACTCTTTACTCAGCGGCCTCTACCATCAGTGTGTGAATGGATGAGTTAATACTGATGGACTCTTTACTCAGCGGCCTCTACCATCAGTGTGTGAATGGATGAGTTAATACTGATGGACTCTTTACTCAGCGGCCTCTACCATCAGCGTGTGAATGTGTGTGAATGGATGAGTTAATACTGACGGACTCTTTACTCAGCAGCCTCTACCATCAGTGTGTGAATGGATGAGTTAATACTGACGGACTCTTTACTCAGCAGCCTCTACCATCAGTGTGTGAATGTGTGAATGGATGAGTTAATACTGATGGACTCTTTACTCAGCGGCCTCTACCATCAGCGTGTGAATGTGTGTGAATGGATGAGTTAATACTGACGGACTCTTTACTCAGCAGCCTCTACCATCAGTGTGTGAATGGATGAGTTAATACTGACGGACTCTTTACTCAGCAGCCTCTACCATCAGTGTATGAATGGATGAGTTAATACTGACGGACTCTTTACTCAGCAGCCTCTACCATCAGTGTGTGAATGTGTATGAATGGATGAGTTAATACTGATGGACTCTTTACTCAGCGGCCTCTACCATCAGTGTGTGAATGTGTATGAATGGATGAGTTAATACTGATGGACTCTTTACTCAGCGGCCTCTACCATCAGTGTGTGAATGTGTATGAATGGATGAGTTAATACTGATGGACTCTTTACTCAGCGGCCTCTACCATCAGTGTGTGAATGTGTATGAATGGATGAGTTAATACTGATGGACTCTTTACTCAGCAGCCTCTACCATCAGTGTGTGAATGGATGAGTTAATACTGATGGACTCTTTACTCAGCAGCCTCTACCATCAGTGTGTGAATGGATGAGTTAATACTGATGGACTCTTTACTCAGCAGCCTCTACCATCAGTGTGTGAATGTGTATGAATGGATGAGTTAATACTGATGGACTCTTTACTCAGCAGCCTCTACCATCAGTGTGTGAATGGATGAGTTAATACTGATGGACTCTTTACTCAGCAGCCTCTACCATCAGTGTGTGAATGTGTGTGAATGGATGAGTTAATACTGATGGACTCTTTACTCAGCAGCCTCTACCATCAGTGTGTGAATGGATGAGTTAATACTGACGGACTCTTTACTCAGCAGCCTCTACCATCAGTGTGTGAATGGATGAGTTAATACTGATGGACTCTTTACTCAGCAGCCTCTACCATCAGTGTGTGAATGGATGAGTTAATACTGATGGACTCTTTACACAGCAGCCTCTACCATCAGTGTGTGAATGGATGAGTTAATACTGATGGACTCTTTACTCAGCAGCCTCTACCATCAGTGTGTGAATGTGTATGAATGGATGAGTTAATACTGATGGACTCTTTACTCAGCGGCCTCTACCATCAGCGTGTGAATGTGTGTGAATGGATGAGTTAATACTGATGGACTCTTTACTCAGCAGCCTCTACCATCAGTGTGTGAATGTGTATGAATGGATGAGTTAATACTGATGGACTCTTTACTCAG